ATATATATATTTGTGATAGAACTGCGTGTTCAACATGACCGCAATGTCATTACAGGGAAGTAAGGGGCAAGGAGTCAGAATCATAAGGCCATCAGCCAGCTGTCGTCGTTGCGGTAGGGGGGTGCGAAATCCCATCTGCGTCCACTGTATTGCCTCTGCGCCAGAAACCCCAATCGCTGCGGTGGCTAGGCGACGCGGTAACTGTTTATCGCCCGACTATTATTGTAACTCGTTAACTCGATGTAAGATTAAGTTGCGATTGCTTCAGTGGTGGAAATTGGGGCGTGGATTTTAAGGTTAACATGAGTATAAGTGCTTATACGCTTGTAACAAGATAATCATTCATATTGGTCAAAAATTATCCAACTCCTATCGGCGAAGTTACCTACATAAAATCAAAATAGTATATCAATTGACCTTACATATTTGCATAGTGTACTTTTAATCATACGCCATAATGAGTTCGGTAATTCCATGCAGCTTGTTACGTTCACTGCAAATAGATTGTTTGGGTCTCCATACACAACATGACAAATACCCGCTGATTGGCGAAGAAGGGAAAATAACAACCTTCCTTTCTTCTCGGTCGCGTAAAAATTTATTGGAAAAATGTCTGTCTTATTCTGCGTCCTACGTATTATTTTCAGGGACTTTATTTGTATTTACGTGGGTTCATTTCGTTTCCCATACTTATAAAAGGATATGGGAATAAGTAATACTAGACATGATAATTGTTGCTAGAAAAGAACTACCGATTTGAAAAATACATATTGAAATAATCATGCTATAGCCCTGGGTGGCTCATGGCCATCATGATAGCTTTCTATAGGGCGGTTCCGTGTTCAAATCACGGGTGGGACAAAAATAACGGTCTAGCTTTCTAGTACAAAATAGTCTCAGTTTCTATAGCTAGTTCCAGAAAGCATTGGCCACGAATGAAGCGTTGTCGGACGAGCTAGGAGCATTTTCAAATGAGTTCGTCAAAGACCCTTCCGAACGTGTTGCGTACATTGTTTTGTATAAGTAATTCATGAAAAATTACGAGAATACACGCTTCGGATCAATTTCAAAATGCGAGGTGCAGTTACGATCATTCTTGGCACCTTGGTGTTTTCTTTTCTTAGCAGTACGCAGTTGTCTTACATACCCATGAGGTATACAGGAAGAGGTGGCTCGGGGCATCACCTGATGTCACTGCAGTGCCTTTGGCCGGGATATTTCAGGTTCCAGTCCCGACGGTGGAAGGATTTTTGACACTAGCTAGATAGCTGGGTCGAGTTCTATAGTTGTCAGGGCTGCTCTGAACGGTAGTTTCCCGTGGTTTCTCCGATCAATACCAGACGAATACCGGTGCTGAACGCGGACTAATGGGCACAGGCTTCGCGCAATCCTTTCTTCCTCTTCCATGTCTTATCCTCACCCCTTACTTACACACTCTTACACTAACATGCACTACACATGCCGGGAGAGCGGTCGGGGGGATTAAAGCTTGTCCCGACCCAGAAGGGACCAGCTGGTGGGTGACACTGATAGAGGGAAAACCCCGCTCACCTACGGTAAGTCGGCGCCGGATCTCACCGTTTAGCGGGGCAAGATTACCGCCACCTAACGAGGAGAAAAAAAACATGCATTACACTTACAGGAATAATGGTCTTAGCCGTTGACGCTCCCGGATTCACTAATCAATCAAAGTTTTTTATACCGCACGCATATACTCTCTGCGCATACCACAAAGTATCACTTTTCAATCAATGAACAGTGAAGTTAAGTACTATATCCATGCATGAGTACTGAAAAATATTTATACCCTGGCTATGCACTTTTCAGATTGCAGGTCCGATGCCGGGAGAGAAAGTGTTGGACTATTGGGAGCCGTCCAGGGGCATGCTGTCGAACGCCGATGCCTTCATGCAGTCGCTTCTCAACTTCGACAAGGAGTCCGTCACTGATCAGAAGCAGAAACAATTGCAGCCTTATATAGACGACCCTAATTTCCAACCTGCCAAGATTCTCGCCGTAAGTGATCAAACCTGAGTGCTGGATTTAACAAGCAAACTGCCCGCATTGACAGTAAACATCGTTTCATGTTTGATTTCTCTGGTCAGTCACGAGCAAGGTAAGTAGCGCATTTTGTTCATTAAAATCTAGTACGTTATGCATGATGGATGTAAAATACAACTGGTGGGAGGATTTATCCCCATTGGAGCATGATGGTTAAGGAACATGAAGGTTAAATGATGATTAAGCTCTATCAGAATAACCATTAACCTTAATACAGAATTAATCGTTATTATTTGTTGGCCTAAGGAAATTTATTTGTTATCAGATTTTTATTCCATAGTGAATTGTTCCTTGTACAAGGGAATTATAACTAAAGTTGACTAAAATGGGTAGATTCTGGAATTATTTTGTAATTATATGGCTATGAATTGGATTTTTGATTGACTTTACGCTTTATATCGGTTCTCTCATTCTCCCATTCTCTCATTCTAACTCAGATCCATCATCATGCATTTCATTATTCTCAGCTGTCGCCTATCATCACTGATACCAATTAAGCGTTCTTTAAAGAAATCTCAAAATTTTCAGTATCAGAGGCACGATTACATACTTATATGTAGTCTTAGTTGGAACGAAAGTTTGTTACGCCTCTGGCGCTTGGTTTCATCACATTATAGAGAAGAAGCCGGGAACAGAGGTTATCATATTACGAGTATCAAAACGTACTAACTTCCTCCAATGTTCCCTCCTGCAGCTCGGTTACGCAAATACGATTTGAGTTTTGAAAAGTTGTTTTTATTCCGGATTAACCTTTGCCTTATCTCTTGATTACACTAGTAAATTATTTATCCTGGCCTTGCTCATGTTTCAGTAAAAGTTCACTACTTCACGAGAAAACTCTACTATTTGAATGTGGCGTCACCGACGCTGTAACTATTTTAAAAGTATTTTTTGTGTTAAAAATGTCTTTCATACTTCATTTCTGTCATGCGTAGCTTTGTTCAAATATGATCTCACAGAATCTGGCATTGGACGTACCAATGAATCGCAGCAGCTGGCAATGCGAGCGCATGCTCTCATTAATCCGCTTGGCGCACACAATCGCAGTGCTGATAAAAATCCCTAACTTCCAATGGCCTTGCATGATACCTTCGCAATTCCGTCGCAAAATCTTCTACAACTACATATGATTCTCCCCTGAATTTGCTTAACACTTCCATATTTTTCTTCTCTAATGTTTGCAGAGATTAAAAACTCCACAAACTCAGTCTAATTTTTGTTTACTTCCACCACTGCAATTGCTCTTTGTATGCGAATCTATATAAACAGATAGGGTTTTGCATATTTGTTTGCTTAAATCTGGTAATATGCCTACGGATAAAAAAATGATATATGCCGCATGATTCACTAGTTCAAATGAACAAGACATGTTCACTTAAAGATGCCAATGTCGTGAACGAAAACTGTCATATTAAGCGAAAAATGCCTTTGGTAACAGGAGATTTATCAACGTCACCTACGTAGATCTATTTATGTGGCCTTTGTTTAATTCTCGGCATACATAGATCGCAGTGCAAAAACACGCAAAAATAATTTTTTGAAAAAATGCTTTGAATAATCTGGTCAGATCCGCAAAAAAATTCCATTGGTGCACGGGTATTCTAGCCGTGCAACCGCACATCTGAACATCCGAACATACTCACAATCGGAGTTGCTCAAATACTGTATATGGATGAACAGTGAGTAACATGCACTCGTAAATAAAATTTAAATAAATAAATAAATAAATAAATAAATAAATAAATAAATAAATAAATAAATAAATAAATAAATAAATAAGTGATAATAAGTGATAATAAATAAATAATTAAGTGAGTGAGTGAGTGATGAATGATGAATGATGGATGATGGATGATGGATGATGGATGATGGATGATGGATGAATGGATGAATGAATGTCCTGAAAAGTTGCCCTGCTTATAAAAACCCTTAGCGTTCAAGCTTCAAGATGATTTGCTAATTGTTCTCATTATTTTTACTGTTAGTTAAATATCAATTATCTATAATTAATGTTAGTTATTAATAAAAACATTACAACACTCAAACTAAATTCTCTCCAGCGCGAACGCTGATGATAAATGTTACTAAACTAGATTTTAAAACACGGATGTTTTGGGTTCGATGTTTTAGTTTTGAACATTGATGATTTTAAATTCCATATTTTTCTACTCGTATCGATGTTCCATCCCTACTTTATACAAGCAAGGGAATAATTTTGAATGAATAGCCGGGAGAGAATTCTTAACAGTGGCTACGATAAAACTGTCAAAATAGTATAATAAAATGTGCTTGCTGTTAATAACGTGATTACTGGCGTGTGAGAAAATCTAATAGGACGTATCATATTAACCAACTCTTCGTCAGATCGTGTCCTTTTCAAGAACTGATAAGAATGGTAAACGGATGCAAAGCTGAGTCAGAGGGAAGACATTGCTACAGCATTTTCTCCGTATTTTGGTAAATGCCACTGTGGAGTTATCAGATTTGTTTTTAATGGTCAGGTTAATGTATTCTATTTCGCCCCATGAGCATCGCACCTTTCAGTGTTTACTGTTACAAGCATCTGGTTAACCTAGAGAGACGTTCGCATTTGCTTATTCCAGTTATTTTCTTCGTTATTCTGAAACTTCTTTAAGTAAAATATGTGTATACGTATTATATTATTTTCGTGAAATGGACGGTATCTGTTCTAATTTATGTGCGCAATAGCGTTATATTGTGCTTAACGAACGGCACCAGCATGTCAGTAGCACTTGGTTGCAGGAGAAGCCAGAGAAATGGCACATCAAAATCTTGGTTTACAGCAGGCACGTTGATTTAGTAGATCCATTAACACAACATATGTGACACACATAAGCAATCAATTTCTTCCCCGAGCAGATAGTAGCAGTCCCTCATAAATTCGACTCTTCAT